TTTCGATATTCCATCAAGCCTACACTTATATCTTGCACTTTTCTCATGATATTTTTCACTATTCCTACAGCTTTTTCAGCCAACCCATTACTTTGAGGATATCTGGGGCTACTAAATTTAAATTCGAAATCCCAATCTTCAGCAAATTTCTTAAATAAGTAGCTATTACAGGGATTATTGTCGCAAACGACTTCATTTGCAATACCATACCTGGCAAAGATGCATTTTAACTTTATCATAATTTCATTTGCTGTCTTATCTTTTATGTTAGAAACCTCAATCCATTTAGAGTAATAATCAATAACTACTAAGTAATTTTGATTACTAAATTGCAAGATATCAAGGGCAATTTTTTCGAATGGTTTAGTTGGAATTTCATGTTGCATTAGAGGTTCTTTTTGATTTCTATTTCTGAATTTTTCACATATTTCACATTTGGAAACAAGCTGCTCAATGTCATTTGTCATACCTGGCCAGTAAAAAATTTCACGGGCTCTACTTTTACATTTCTCAATTCCAAAGTGCGCTTCATGAATTAATTGCAACATATCTTTTCTCAAACCATAAGGTACAACTAATTTTTCATTAATAAATAACAAGTCGTCATTAATATAAAGATCATTTTTAACTTTAAAGTATGTTTTTACACTACTATCTACTTTTTTGTAACATTTAGGCCAACCCTCTTTAATACATTTCATAACTATTTGCAAATCTGGATCTGATTCAGTTTCTTTCCTAAATTGCACCACTCTTCTTTCACTCATAGGCAAATATTTTGAAATAATGTGAACAACATTTAGCATTTCAGGATCATCACTAATAGTTTCATTCACAGGATATGCACGTGACAAAGTGTCAGCAAAAAGCATTTGATTACCTGGAACATAATTTATCTCAAAATCATACTTTAGTATGATTTTTAGTAATTTTAAGATCATCCTTTGCATTCTAGAAGAGATTTTATTCAATCGTTTCTTAACAATTGCCATTAAAGGCTTATGATCACTTTGTACTGCAATTTTTCGCCCATAAACGAAATTGTGGTACTTTTCAAAAGAAAATACTATGGCCAATAGCTCTTTTCGATCTGTGCATAGTTTTTTTTTTCACTGTTAGTCAGGCTGCGAGACACAAATGATACAGGCTTACCCTTTTGAATTAGACACGATCCTAGGCCATCCTTCGAACTATCACACTGTATAATTATATCTCATTACCACTGAAAACTTTTAAAATTGGAGCTTTGGTTAGCAGTTGTTTGATGTTGTTAAATGACTCTTCCTGAGTTTCTCCCCAATTAAATTCTACCTTTTCTTGAATGATTTCTCTTAAAGGAGCAGTAACTTTAGATACATTAGGTATGAATTTTGACAGAAAATTTAACATTCCTAACAACCTCCTTACTTCAGTTTTTGATTTTGGTGTTGGCATATCAATAATTGCTTTAATATGACTAGGATCGGCTTTTACACCTGACTCAGAAATAATTTGGCCTACATATTTGACTTCCGGTACCCTATATTGTAATTTATCAGGATTAAATTTTATATTTAGAGACCTAGCTCTTTCAAGAACCTTAGAGATAATTATATCATGAGTAACCTCATCAGATCCTGCAATTATGATATCATCAAAATAAACTTCCACACCCTCAATATCACCAAATAATTTTTGGTTTCTTTTCTGAAATATTTCTGGGGCGGAGGATATTCCAAATGGCATTTTATTAAATTTATATCTTCCATAAGGAGTATTAAATGTACATAGTTCAGAACTAGCTTCATCTAGTGGTACATGCCAAAATCCATCTTTTAAATCTACAACTGAAAATACTTTTTTACCTTCTAACCTACTAATTATATCATCTGGAGAAGGAATTTGATAGTGTTCCCTTTTAATTACTTTATTTAGATCTCTAGGATCCAAGCATAATCTCAGACTCCCATTAGGTTTTTCAACTATAACCAAACTTTGAACCCAATCAGTTGGTTTATTTACTTTCGATACTATCCCTTCTCTTTCAAGTTTATCTAAAGTATCTTTTAATTTAGGCTGTAAAGCCTGAGGAACACGTCTTGGGGGGGTTTATTACTGGTATTGCATCATCTTTAAGGGTTATATGATATGGTTCGTCAGGAAATTGCCCTGTACCTGTAAATACATCTTTATACTGAGCAATTAAATCATTTTTATTAATGATATTGCACTTTAAGGAATCAATCCTTTCAATTAGCTTTAATGCAGAACAAGCTGTTAACCCTAATATAGGCTTAGATCTTACATCAAGAACATAAAACTGTAAAGGTACATTCTTAAGCCTTTCAGTTGAACAATTAATTATAAGAGTACCTTCTGGTTTTAACTTAAAATTACCATATGCAGTTAAGAACAAATCAGTTTCATTAAGTTTAGGCTTAAGTTTAACATTATTTAAAACATACAAAGGCAAAATATTTACTTCTGCACCAGTATCTAACTTAAAATCAACCTTGAAAGACTTATTATTTACATACATTGTAATACTTTTCACCCATGTTTCACTTACCTTGTGAATATCCTTATTTACTTCATCAATAGAATTTGTTAGATCTTTGATTGATTTTGCACTTATTTTAAATTCACTATGCCCGTTTACTGGTGGATTCATCATTACAGAGTCAACAAATACACTATGTTCATTATATATACTAAGTTCATTATTTGGTATTCCAACTTCATAAATGTTCTTGGGACACCTCGCGGCAAAATGGTTCTTTACTTTGCATTTCGCACACGTCTTTCCGAAAGCTGGACAGTCCCGATATTTGTGCCTTCTTCCGCACTTCTTGCAGTCATATTCTAGTGCTGATTGCTTCTGCTGCGACGACAATTTCGGTGGCACTGACTGTTTTGATTGATGCTGCTGTTTTTTATATCACAGTCGCTGGATCATCTTTCATGTTCCGGAGTTGCTCTTTGCTTGTTTCAGCGGCACGGACTATTTCTATAGCTTTTTCTAATCCCAGGTTAGATTCTCGAAGCAAACGTTCGGTCAGACTCCTATCCCGAATGGCTAATACAAGACAGTTGCGAATCAATCTATTTTCTTGTTTAGCAAACTCACAAGCTAAAGTCTTTAACTAAGTGACATAACATTCAATTGTTTGTCCTTCTTGCTGGCTACATGAAAAGAATTTGTAATGTTCATATACGACATTCTGCCGTGGTGAACAATAATCTTCCAAAGACTTCAAGACCTCTTCGTACTTCTCTTTATTCTCAGGTGGCTAAAATCAAAACATTATATAAATTTTGAGTCCTTCAGTACCGAGTAAATCTAAAAGAATTGTAATTTTAATCTTCTCTGGCTTGGCATCTTTTTTTATTGCAAGTAAGTTGTTTTCTCACTCTTGCTTCCGTTTTTTCCATTTTTGTTTAACATTTCTGACGGAGAATGTCAGTGGAGCATGTGGTCTGAAATCCATTTTGATCCTGACACCATGTAACTTCTTGTTTAGTTTGTTCCACTTAATAACTTCTATACTTTCAAAGTAGACTCAACTAATGAGTATGGCTCAATAATAATTCAAATTTTTATTTTTTTAAAACAGTTCACATGACATTAAGCTAGCACAACAACACGTGCATCACAGCAATGCAATAGCATAGCATGAACGCCGTTACAGTTATAGTTATTTTTAATATACATAACAGAGCCCAGAACTGCAAAAATAAGCAAATTTTATTATTTCTCCCTAAATCAAGGGAACTATTCAGATTTGCAACAACATGTAACTTTTACAATAACATATATACCACACTATTTAGATAAGTAATGATATGTCATGCTGGGCACTAAATTGCAATCTAATTCATTTCTCTAAGGGCTATGTAGAAATTTAAGTTTATAATATAACATGCAGAAGTAAATATTTTGTAATATACTTTTGTGTAGCAATATTATGCATATTTAATTCAGCCTTTAATTTTCTACAATTGCTTCCACAGGTTTGAAAACAATGTGCAATCTGAAGTAACTCCACCTGCTTTAGTTTGAATCAAACATGGTTCTACAGTAAGGCAAAAATCTCCATCATACTACATAGCAGGATAATGTATAAATAATTTATTCTCAAACCTCCTGTTAGTGAACAATCATAGGACCAATTCTATTCCCCATCACTAAGGAGTGTCCACTAAATGGAAGTGTATTGGTCTTCTTTGAATGTCTAAGGATTCAAGAATGGTCTGTCAAAATTAACAGTCCACAATATTGAAGTATTCATTAACAAAAGTTCAACTGCATTCATAATGTAACAGCTAATTGATAAGTAACCAGGCATAAGTGTATTTGTCGAGACAAATCTAAAAATATTCATATAAAAATAAAATAAGGCTCATCAAGAACAAATATATCTATACACATGTACTCATACTTTAAAACATACTAGTGGGCTGCAGCCAAAGCAAAATTTGTTGAGTTCTATTCCATTAAAAAAAAAAAATTACACTATTTCTGTTCAAAAAAGATGGATGGCAATTTTAAAATTCTACCTGGTACCTGTTTTGATGCAGCAAGACAAACAGCAATGAAGTTCAGGAAAAACAAAAGCAACTTGGAAGGTGCGAAAATTAGCATTTTTACAGTTTTTAATTCATATCTTACCTGACTAAAGTCGTGCAAAAATAAGAATGGTTGAAATTGTTTCCTACAAATTTTTGGAATCCATGGGTACCTCTCTCAAAACTAAATCCCCCGTTGTTCCAGAGATGATGTTATAAGCATACAGATGCACACATATTTTAATAGTATTAACTACTACTACATAAGTTGAAAAATTTTCATGCCTACAAAGACTTAGATTTAAAATACAACTCAAAAAGCAAAATAATAAAATTTAGTTTTAATTTTATTTCAAACAACAAAAATATAATTTTAAAAATTTATTTTCATAGGGTTTATGAGTACCAATCAAAACAATGAATATATTAATTAAGAAAAAATGTGAAATAATAACCTTAGTATTGAAGCTTAATGTATGCTGTGGGAGATCAACAGTAAATTTTGCTTTACTTCCTGTAACACCCATGCTGGTAACTTTGCCCATCTATAAACATTTAAAAAATAATAAATTTCACATAAAATAAAAAACACTCTTATGATTATAATAAAATTTTATTTATTTACAACTATCAAGTAACACTGGAAATAAAAAGGAGCTTATCTCATTAACAGAATTTATAATTAGGTGTTTAAAAAAACAGAATCAAATTTCAGTTTCCAAAAATAATTCATTTTAATACATGCAGAAATCGGAAACTAAATTTCCTTTTCCAAACAAATTTTTACATAAATTGCAAAACTGAAAAAAATATGATTTAATATAATACTGAAGAGAAACTGCAAAATTTTCCATCAAAATGTATGCAGACTGTTTTGATTGCTATCACTACAGATTTAATGTTACTTTATCAAACTTAATCTGACGTTAAAAAAAAAGCGTTTTGTATAGCAGGTCTTTAAAGACATATAATAAAAATAAAAACTGTTTTTCATTAAACAGATTTCTCCCTACAATATTAAAGCCCTCGCAAGATAGTTTTTGATTTTTTTTTAAAGTAGTAAAACTGTTGGCCCTACACACACTTAAATAATAATAATTTAAACTTTTAACACAAATTTTAAACATTTATGAATATGGAACTAAGCAACTAATCACAAGAAAATGTAATATTCATACCAGCTAAAACATGGAAATAAACCTATTAACATTTTTATTTATTTGAACCTATACATATTCTTCATACCAATCATAAAATGCAGATATAACAGCTATTTATAGTAAGGTATATTTCCCTATTCCAGTAATTGAAATTCTCTTTATAGTTAGTTTTTATTTCAGTATTTATTTGATCTATTACTTTTTGGTTAAAAATAATTATTTTTAAATAGCTTAGGCCCCGTAAATAATAGAATACCTGATACTGTGCTCGAAGAGATGGTAACACAGCTGCTCCAATTGCTAAACTGTCTAATATGATACTGAACTGTATAATAATAGGTTTAATTAATTCATGTCCTGAATCAGGTAGCCGATTTTGAGCAGGGGTGTCCCATGGTGGTTGAGGTGAATGATTTGCTGCACTTGCACTGTACTCATCAATTTGGCGACTATTTAAGAAAAAGATAAAAAATACACTTAATTTGCATGCTATATTACACACAAGTACTCACATTATTATGTATTTACATCTAAATTATCAAGAAAATGTTTTGAAATCATTGAAGTGCATTTACTAGAGATTAATATTAATTATGAGGTTTTCCTTATAATATCTGAAAAAGTAAGAATTATTTAAAAAATCTCATGTTGTCAAAAATAAAGTCCTCTTGAACATAAGACACACACTGCTGACCTGTCTTGTAAATTGACAACTTCAGATTATGGTCTAACACATCAAAGGCTTTTAACATTAAATAAATAAAAGCATATAAAAAGTCCAAATTTCTGGCACTTTATAAAACAGGTTGTTCCAGATTATAATTGTGTTTGATTTCATCATCCCCCATTATCAATCAATATATGTTTTGCATGTCAATCATCTCCATCGGAATTGATATGATCAGATTTGCTGGTTTCTAAAAATAATATTACATTTATTTTTTCTCGCATTAATATCTTACATCTTCTGAACATTTTGCTACAGAACTACAGAACAGCAGCAGGACATTTTCACTACCTAAGGAAGGCGTAAAATGAGTGATCTAGATGCGAGTCACCTCCCCTGTGAGAGTTGACGCTAAACAAAGGACAGGAAACATGCATTCAAATAAGAGATCTATTTTAGTTCCATCAAAAGAATGACTGGCATATCATTTAACAAATCACGAAACCATTAAGCCATACACTGATGTGATGGGGGAAAGCACCAGGTAGCAAATGAACAAGGCGCTCAGGAGATATGCCAATGTCTGAATGTATGGGTGTCAAGGGTGACTTTGATGCAAAAGAGTTAAGTCCCAATCACATTATGTTTCGGGTACGGGGGACTTGATGTCAAAAGAGACAATTCTCAGAACCCGCACATTTCCAAGAAACCCATGTAGCTAGGTTACTATTTAGACTTACTACAATGACTTGAATGCCAAACAGTAATCAATTCTCACTCCGACTGGGATCACGTGATCGTTCAGAAGCAGAACTTTTGTCTGACTGGTTGATCTCTACACAGGACACAGCACCAGCCGAAAAATTTTCGGCAAAGTTTCAAAAAATCCCACATAGCCGGTACATCGTTTCTGAGCTCAATTTTAAAGAGAAACAGATGAATTTGTACTATAAAATCTTGAAAAAATTTTAACAATTTTTTTAAAAGATTAAAAATGAAACCACTGGCTGGGAAAAAAAAATAATGTCTAGAAGTGACAATTTACATTTAGAGCATGTATGGACAAACTACGGCCCATGGGGAAGTTCTATCTGGCCCTCGGATAGACTTTTAATTTGCCGGTCTATTATTTTTTTTTCTTCCTTTTCTCAAAGGCCTGATGATCTTTTCACTTTCTCTATTTTTGTTCTACAAAACATAAATCAATGGAAATGGCAAGCACAGACAGCTTTCCATCAGTAAAGTGTTAACACTAGAACGGTGGTAAGGGGTCATTGTGACCCTTCGATGAAAGTACTGAACAACAACGGTAAAACAATTTAAATGCCATACATTGGCACAAATATGTACTTTATATGTATTTCATAATTTATATTTAATATCACATGATAATTTATTGAGTTCTTTAAATACTGTAAATGTATCAAGTACATGGCGATCAACTGGATCTTACTACAATTACTCAAATAACTCATTAATTTAATATAAGAATTGATTTCAAATGAATGGTTCCACAAATTAAAACTAATGTTAACTAAAATAAAACACAATTTATATAATAATTTTTTTTTATGTACTTACTCGTAGGATGATTCACTCTCTAAATCCAGAAATGAGAAATATTCTCTGATGTTTCAGTTATATCATTATATGTGTAGCTGAATGGAATATGTAAAGCATTTTGTTTCAATTCTATTTAATATTTAAAATATTAGAGATTACGCATATGTATTAAGAATTAATGCAGTTGATACAAAAATAATTTTTAACAATTTTTCCAGTGCATTTTCTGCATACAACTTTGGAACAAGATGCACAATATTCTTGAGATTTGTTTCCATTGCATCTCTATACTTGACACTTTTTTTTCCTCTTTATATCCATTTTCTTTTCATGTGCTTTTTCTGCAGACTCAGAAAGGATCTTAGGGAGTTTTGAAGCCACATGTACCACTCTTAACTCCTCTCCTAATTTCAGTGGAAAATCTCTCCTGTTAATGGTGTTTCTTGTTACACTTTTATAAATTATCCAGGCGTTCAAAGATACGTGATCCAAAATATTGAAAAAGATATGTACAGGCCATTGTCTAGAAGCCGATTTAACTGAATGTTTTTGGCACATCTGATCACAAATATCCACACCATACTTTGTTGCGTTGTAAAATGCTATTAAATTGGGCAACTTCTTGAGAATGTCTTCAGTTTTTACAGTAGAATGTAATGAGCTCAATAGAAAAACGCTTTTGTTTCTTTTGCCTTGATAGATGGTAAGTGTGATATTATCATGTTCCGCTATTGTCGATGAATAAAGATTAATAAGCATATTTTTCAAAGACATAGGAATTTCTCTATCATTGTGCCAACCATAGTTGTATTTTTGATTTTAGCATTTCTGATAATTTAATGCTAGTATGCTAGTAAAATAGTTATCCGTGGTAATATTCATCCCTGTGTCTAGATGTGTCTCCGTTAATTTTATGACAACATTTTCAGACAAACGTAATTCAGGATTTGCTGTTTCATCTTTTCATAGATAAGCAAATACATTAAAGAGGTATTTAGTATCAACGTCAAGAGATAACCAGTTTTATTCCAAATTTGTCAGGTTTATTATGCATATATTGTGTAAATCTACACCTAGCTTTAGATGGGAAAAATAGTTCATCAACTGTAATACTTTGTCCTGGCCGGTAGCACGTTTTGCAGTTTTCAATAAATTTGTTCCACGTGTGTGATGAAAGAGCAAATTTATCAGTCTGTAATTGAGTAGATCTTGTTGTCTTTTCATCAAACCTTAAAAATTGTTTTATTTCTTTGAATCTACCTCTTGATTCTTTGGAAAATGGTATTCCCCATGCTTCAGACCACAAGGAATATAAATTTAAGTCCTTTTCTCCTATTACTCCTTGAACATACAATATAGCGACAAAAACACCTAATTCAGCCAAAGATAACTTCCAGTCTTTATTTCCAAGCTGCCGATGAGCTTCGGATTCTGTACATTTCTTTATATGCTGCAAGACATCATCATCAATAAAAAGCTTGAAAGTACTAGACACTTTGTCCTCAGAAACACGACTCTTTGCAAAAGATGTTGGTCCTGCTGTTTCTTTTAGAACAATATAAGCAGGAACACAGATGCAGACTGAATTTTTGGAATTTATTTCATTCCTTATAGTGTTATCAGGAGCTGTAAAAACAGTTTTGCAAAGACCCTGACAATGTAACTGAAGAAAAACAATGTTCCTGAAGAAAAAAGTCTGTCTACAGAATTAAAAGACAAAAACGAGGCAACTTAAACAACTTACATTGAAAGAAATGTTTAATAAGGTAAACAAATTAATATTAAGCTTTTTTTTTTTGTAAATTTTGATACCCTTTAGATCATAAATACTTCTTTATTTCATAAATCTTGATTTCATATTTTTAATTTTATAATTTCTACATGCCATCTTACTAGATTTAAATTGATGATCTAATAATATCCGAAAAAATCCCAAATCCAGAATCACCGAAGTTCCGACGAGTCTGGATTTCGGACTTAAAGCTCTCAGTGATGGGGAGTTCGTTAAACAATGCATGCTCCAGGTTTGTGATGTTTTATGTCCATACAAGAAAAAACAATTTGAGACTGTAAGCTTATCTCGAAATACGGTGACTTCTAGAACCGAAGTCATCGATAAAAATTTGACATCACAATTAGAATCAAAGATTAGCCAGTTTAAAATATGCTCCATAGTGATGGATGAAAGCATGGATATAAATGATATTGCTGAAATAGTGTTATTTATAACAGGTGTTGAGGAGAACTTTGAAAGTACCGAGGAACTGGCATGGATACGATCTTTAAAGGGAACTACAATGGGATGTGATATTTTTCGTAAATTTCAGGAAGGGCTTTTAACTTTGAAAGTGCCTATAACAAATATATGTAATATTACAACGGATGGAGTACCAAATATGACAGGAAAAAAAATCTGGATTTATTGGACACTTTAATCAAAACTATCTGGGAACAATTTTCATCAAGATGCTCTGTGCAAATCCATCAAGATGCTCTGTGTAAATCTGCATTAAATATGAAACCCATGCTTGATGTAGTCGTGAAGTTTGTAAATACTATTTGATCTTGTGGGCTTACTCATGGGCAATTTCAAGATTTCCTTCAGTCCATGCAATCTGAATACTCTTATGTACTGTATTACGCAAAAGTAAGGTGGCTTAGTGCAGGATGTGTTTTCAAGCGAGTTTTAGCTTTTTAGTGGATTATGTCAAGCTTAAATAAGAAAAATATCTTTGTCTCAAAAGCCATACACCCCATGCAGAAGTGTCCCAAAACTTTCCATGCACACTTTAGGGTATCAATTACTTAGTTAAAAAGAAGATCAAATGATTTTATTAAAACAGATGCATTTTTTTACATATACCTGGGTCGTAATGGTTGCCTTGTGGCTCTTAATTCCTGTAGAGTGGTGGATAACTGACGACTGCTTCTTGTCATCATACCATGCAAGACCACTGGATGCTGAGGTATATCAATATTTATAGGCCCAACTGTCAACAAAGCAGAGTTGCGATCTTTTCCTTTTTTATTCTGACTTGAGTACAATGCCTGAGATTTGCACACAGTCATCTTCACAACAGTTCTAAAAGAATACGTATAAAACATGATTATTTCTATATATGCATAATTAAAAGGTTTTCCAAATAAGCCTTAAGTTTGAAGCATTGAAAATCAATAATAACACTTTATTAATATGATTTGATAATGGCATTTTTCATAACAGAACTCTAAACTAGTCTCAAAATTAATTGTTCAAGAAAGGAATACATAAATTATCATAATCACAACACAAGAAGTTCTTCAAACATTCCTTAAATTTCTGAGTACACATGTATGCATACTGGATATTTGGAGATGGGTGGCAAAAGGTTTCATTTATATTTCATTTTGTATGCCATAGATTTACATTACCAATTACAAGGTTTCTTAAGCTGCTCACTTTAAAGATTTATGGTTACACCTTTGGTAAGAAAACACTAGCTAATAAAATAAACAAAAAGTAGTTCAACATAAAAATTAGTTATAAAAAATAAGGAATGTCCTCCACACCACAAACTTCAATATAATGGCAGATATACTGACATTTTTTGTTATATGTATATGAAAATGAGTTTTTAAATAAACACGCAACATTAAAAACGTATTTTAGTTGAAAAAGCAAATTTCTTTCATTAATGATATCATTTAGCTTTTTCTGCATGCAGAGCAGCACTTTTTATTGTTATTGCATACAGATTAGACAGCGAATCTCTCCAACATTTTCGTTTGAGATGTCTACTTTTTCTATCTTTAAAAATTTTTAATTTACATCGTAAATATGCATAAATAATCCCTCCCCCTTTTCAGATCCTGAAATCACAGCTAAGCCCATCGTAGCTAGTTTGATTACAATTCACGCAAAGCCAACATAAATAAATTGTTATGAAAAGCATCTTTTGAGACTGTCCAGGCATGCAAAATGGAAGAATGGCAAAGAGGCAGCACAGAATGTACAAATGTGTACAGAATTTTTATCGACTTCAAAAATTCATTTCTAGCTCTTCCGATTACTGTAACTGGTGAATATGCATATAATGTAATGACAGAAATAGCCTAAGCAATCATTTTGTGAAAATGTTACTGATGAGACATTTGCAAATTGTGCATTTATTTATTTTTGCTTTGATTTAAGAGCATAAAAATTATTTTGCAAATCATTTAGATGGTGGATATGCAGTTTTGTTTATGTCAAATATTTTGATGTGTTTTTATAAAAGATTTCTTCCATTCTTCACAAAATTTTCCCATCAGTTATCCCTTTCTTTCTATTAAACTTTACCCCTGTTTTCACATTACTTTTGAGTTTCAGCAATATAATAGTCCATTCGTTTGCGAAATAAATGCCTGCTTTTTTTTTTTTTTTTCCTTTATGTATCACACCAGTTCAAACTTAATTATTTTAGTCATGAACTCCCTTAAAAATAGCTTAAAAACAACTACTGACTCTGTGGGCATCAACATACTTTACTGAAACTGAAGGCAACAATGCAAAGTTTTTCAAGTTTCTAAGTTATTTCCTACAAAAGCAAAAGCAGTAGACTTAATCTTGTTTGCCAAAAATGGAACTTGAGATCTGCCTGAAGTTTTAAGAGGAAAAATATTTTAAACTGAATAATTTTCAATGATGAAGTTATATCATAACTGACTGATGATGAAATTATTTGGTCGTACTGGACATAACTGGTAAAAATTCAGATACTAAGACTGATAATGAAGAAGTAAAAATCTTTTTCATGAGGTATTATCACTATGTAAATAGTATCTAAACTTTATACAAAAACAAAATTTTGCACAAGAAATATGACAATTTATAAACTTTTAATAAACCTAAAGTATTCAAAGGAAGCAAAAATAGAAATGATGTTCCAAAAATTTAAAAATTATCATTTATAACATCAATGCATACATATGATTATACTTAAAAATATAATTGTTTTCTATTAAATAATTTTTAACGTAAGAGTTTAAATATTTATATGTAAAATTAACCAAATGTAAAAACCAGCAAAAGAAAAATGTAAACAAAACTCAGACACGACCAAAGAGATAAGAATAGAAAGAAGAGTTTCCAGTTTTTTTATATGACCTGAAAATGAATCCTCTTCAGCAAATCACAGCCATGTGTGAAACATGCCAAGGTAAAAACATGCCCAACAGCAACTGAAATATACTTGCTTCTATGGTGTTGTGCAAATAGCTTTTTAAGTAATAATATATGAAAATTTTCAATAAAACACAAGACCAGTGTTAAATTTTTGTTTTAATATAAACATTTGATTTAATATACTGCCAACAACATATAGTGATCTGTAAATAGGAAATTGGGAAATAAGGTAAAATTTCAGTGCAGGATGTGTAAATCAAAGATTTTTAAATGATATTTATACTATACTTTACAAAATCGGTCTCCATTTACTTTGCTTTTATAGCCAAATCCTTTACAGCACAGCTCTGCAGCTGTAACATACTAAAATAGAAGATGTTTTTTTCCATTTTCTTAAAATAGTTGAACTTCACAGTTGTAACAAACAGAAAGGATTTAATAATCAAATAAAATGCAAGCTATGCAAATTTAATAATTTGATTTTATTCTTACTGTTACAAATTTACCAAATTTGATTAAAGAAATTATTTAAAATAAAGTTTGATAAAAGAAATCAAGTATTTAAACAGTTTTGGATTTATCCACTGGAAATGCTCAACTTAGATAACTACTATATTTATTTTTATTGTTACAGTGCATACATAATTTTATACATATGTATAGAAAAATAAAATACATTGAAAAACAGTATATGTATGAAAAAATTACATTTCATAAAAAATATATAAAGGTTTATATTGAAAAATATATCATAAATTACAAAAACCATAATGCATAATAAATATTACATGATTACAAGTTAAGAAGAATTATGTTAATTATTCACATTTCTATAATTTTCAAGTACACCATCAGAATTCTGCAAAAAGTTCAAATGTGAGACGCACAATGATCTCTTGATATGAAATTGTGAATCTTATGATAGCTGTGATTTGGAAATAATTGATAGTATTTGCAGAAATTCAAGTACCTTCTTAATGAAAACAATGAAAATAATTTTGGTTTATTCTGAATTAATATCATATAACAATTTAGTTATTTTAATATTAACATTCTAAGTAAGTTGCATGGTCCTCCACCATCCCCCTCCAAATATCACACAAAGTTGTGCCCAATTCCAAAATGAGCCCATGGAGTCAGATAGTACATCCATGCTGTTTATATGCTTGGAATTATTATTTTTCTCAGGGTGAGAAATCTGTATGATATGTGCAGCTAACACTACTTTTCATTCTAAATTTTTTTTTTTTTTTTTTTTTCTTCACAGTTGTTAGAAGAAAATTTCTTTACACCCTAAGTAGTGCAGTTTTTTTTGGATCAACTCATGAACTGCCATATTTAGACAGCATTTGTTAGCCAGATTTAAATAATAGTGTTATGGTTTTTGTATTGATACATTTAATTTGCTATTTTTAACAGAATTGTTATTAAATTGTTTAATTTCCCCGTGCAATGCTGCCTGCGACTTATTTGAAGAGAAAACTAAGCTGGAAAAATTAAAATACAGGAGCACACACATTTAACATTTTAATAATACATATCTCGTAATTGTACACTTTAATACTCAGACAGATCGAGAAAATACTAGAATATTCTCATGCTTTTAAAAAGCTTATAAAAGCAGGATGAAAACCTCTCAATTCAGTTTTGTTTAGAAAACCGTTGTTGTTTACTGTAGCGAATTCGTAGTGAAATTGGATTAGCTTTCTCTATTTTCAATTAGTTCTGTTGAACGTTTTGGTAGTTTAAAAGATAACTAGTGCAAGATATTGTATTGCATGAATATCTTAGGAAATTTAAGTATTTCGTTTTTATTTGTTGTGATAAATTTTATTCACTATTCATCGGACTTGTGCCTTCAATTTATTACGAACCCATACGCACGCAAACCTTTTTGGTGTCAGGAGTGGGGTTTGAATGCCAATCACTAAAGAGATGGAAGAACAATTTAGGGAACTCATCACTGGTTTTGCTGCATTCCAAGAAAAGATGGAAGCTGACCAAGCATCATTTAAAGAAACCACGAAAGATTCTGTTAAAGCAGAGATGAAATCAATCAGAGAAGAGATGAAATCACGTCATGGAAGAATCCATTAAAGAAAGAGATGAAACTGTTCAAGAAAAAGATTGAAGCAGGTCAAGAGGAAATGAAAAGAGAAATTACCTGTGTAATCGAAAATAAATTCAAGGCTATGGAAGACAGAATAGACGGTGTCAAAAATAAAGTCAGAAAAACTGAAGAAAAAGTTTCGTCTGTCAAAGATCAAATAGAAGGGAAAGTGTCGGCTGTAGAGCAACGAATCAAAGGAAGAGTTTCCGTTGTCCAACAGCAAATGGAACAACATATTGAAGAAAGAGTTTCTATCATCCAAGGACATATTGAACAACAAAGTGAAGGCAGAGTTTCTGTTGTCGTCGCAAAATAAGTTGACAAGCTAAAGAAATGCATAGCGAGAGTAGGAAACAATTCTGGCAGTTTTAAATTTTTATCAATGCCGGCTTGTCCTCCTCTGAAGCTATCCATACATGATAAAAAGACTTGCTGGCAAGTGTATACGACACAATTTTCTATAGTGGTGGATGCGAACGGATGGGATTCCCAAGCTAAGGCCTATCATCTCACCATTTCTTTGAGAGCAGACGCAGTGAATATCATTCAAACTTTCCCAGAAAACAAAAGGCTAGATTTCGAAGCTCTATCTGGCGCATCGGACAGAAATGTTTGAAAGACTACAGCAGGCTTCAATTAAAATCCCTTCAACAGAAGCCCAAGGAAACACTCCAGGAGCTCGCTACAGATGTTGAAAGGCTGTCCCATCTCGCCTTTCCAGACTGCCTGACAGAAATAAGGGAAATCCTGTCACTGCAACATTTTATCGATGGCATCTGAGATCCTGAAATACAGAAAGCACTGTGAATGGAAAATGTTGGGGACATAAAAAGTGCTCTAGTGTACGCCATGAAATTCGAGACAGCTCAGCAGGCAACTTGTAGAAATCGCCACCCAGTCAGAGCTGTGCGAGTCCATGAGACAGTGGATCAATTGATGGCTCAATTTATCCAGACAAGTCAATGCTTTGGATAAGGAGTAAGAGTAATTGATAAGAAGTAAGAGTGAGAACAAATTTAAAGTGTTGGAAATGTACTGAAGGTCACATACGATGGCATTGCAGATCACCCCAGAGCATGGAAAATAAGACAGACTATTTAAACAAGCAGTTAAATACCATGAGACGAAAAAGGAGTGACAAGAAACCAAAGTGCTGGAACTGCAGAGCTGAAGGCCACATACGACGGAACTACAGAACCCCAGGAAAAGAAAATAAGATCATTTCCCAGCAATGATGCAGGAAACAAATTAATGACCATATCGAAAAGTGGAGGTTGCCAGATAATGAAAAACATTGTTTAAAGTGCTCAAGATTTCTACAGTGAGTGGCATCAGTAATGAACTGTCCATCAATGGGCATACCGATGGAGTTGATTGCAATATGATCATTGACACAGGAGCTAATGTTACCATCATTTGGAAATATTTAGCTCAACAGTTGAAAGATAAACTCATTTGGACGGCATCCTGTGTGACTGCATCCGGTGATAAAAATCACCACAGATGGGAAGTTAAGCGTTAATATCACGTTTAGAAGTGCTGCCTTCTATCAAACGGCATAAGTAGCAGATATTACAGATCCCTGCATACTCGAATTGGACATTTTTAAGAAATACAATTTTTCCTTGGACTTAAAAAAAAAAAAAAAAAAAAAAACTGCTTTCAGCATCAGAGGACATAATTACCAAACTGCTTTCAGCATCAGAGGATATAATCACCAATCATCAGAAGGGATTCTCCCCTGGAAATGCCAATGCCTTATCTGAAAGACCCTGCTCAGAAAGCTGCCAAAATCATAACAGAGTGAAATCATCTCGGAAACACAAGACTAACAGCTATTCTTCACCTCAGATGCTCATCGGTCCTGACCTTCGTCTGCCTTGTGATCTGATTGGTCACCCTCCAAATACACCTTCATTGCCTGAGGAATACATACAAGATCTCCAGTCCCGGTTTCTGAAGTGATGCAAGAGCGAGTCAACTTGACAATGGAAAAGCTGAAGACCAGATACTACAACACAAGAGCTGCTGGACATCTCTTCAATGAAGGAAACAAGGTGTGGTTGTGGAACCCGATTTGATGGAAAGGACTTGGTCCTAAGTTACAGTCACTTTGGGATGGTCCATACACAGTCCTAAACAGGCTGAATGATGTCATGGTTTGGATCCTTAAGTCATCAAACTTTAAACCTAAAGTCATTCATTATGACAGGTTAGCTCATTACTATGACCACAGTATGTAGTGTAAATAATTGTAAATAGTGTAAGACCATGGTCCTTTTTGTTTCTAAATGTGTATTTGATTTGACTTGTATTTAGTATTTGAATTGTTTTAAGTTACTATTGCAATTATTGTTTATGTTGTTTGTTATCGTAATGTTTATTATTGCATTGATGCCTTAGTTGTAAGCTTGGCTTCCTGTCCAGGGATTGTACTGCCCAGGAGGTGCAGTTCTTGGGAAAAAGCAGTGTTACAGTTTTTGCATTGATTTATTTAGCTTGCTATTTTTAACAGAATTGTTATTAAATTGTTTCATTTCCCCATGAAATGATGCACGCAACTTATTTGAAGAGAAAGCTAAGCTGGAAAAATGAAAATACAGGGGCATGCACATTTAACATTTTAATAATAGATATCTCGTTAATATCGAACTAACGAACTCTTTAATATCCAGAGAAATCGAGAAAATACCAGAATATTCTCGTGCATTTTAAAAAGCTTATAAAAGCAGGATCAAAACCTCTCACAAACTACAATGGCAATCACAAACTACTGGTATAACTGTAATTGTTTTAGCAACATTTTAAAGTGCTAAGCAAGGGAGCAATGTAAACAGGAATCTATCTATTACATAAGCAGCTTTTTTATCAGACATGAATTAAAGCCAAGTTATGAGCAAACATAGCAACCACAAATTATTGGTACAACTGTAATAGTTTTAGCAACATTTTACAATGTTATGCAAGGGAGTAATGTAAACAGAAATCTATATATTACATACGTAGGTTTTTTTATCAGATAATGTTATGTAACAGAATGAAAATCTTTAGATAAATATATCAATTACAGAAGAATTTGAAATAACCTATTATTTTTTATATTAATCCTTAATTCAGATGGAGCTTACTGCTGGTTAGGAGGTACACCTTCCAAGACAACAACCATTGCTTGTCCCAGCTGACCAGCTAATGAGGATTCACTCCACTTGCGAGTTGTTCCACGAACTCTTTCTTTATGAGTCAAACTTAAATGAAATCCATTTAGTTCTCCTTCAAGTTTCAAACCACTCAACATGGCCAACAGACGTGTTTTGTGAACAGTTGCAACACCGAAAACAACTAAAGGAGTCCAGTCCCTCACAATCAAAGCTGAAAAATAATGAATGAAAATGCTATTCAATTTCAAGCCTTTCATGTTATTGAAAATGAGAAGTCATATTTAATTAAACAAATAATTACTTAGGTATGTTTTATCATATTTATATCTCAGATTTTGAGAGAGAGAGGAGCTCGGAGAACATAACAAAATTTTATATGAATGCATCCTATACACGTAAAACTGACATTATAAAGTGTTAAAATATTTCAATAATTAATGGCAGAGAAGATATAACTTTATTACACATTTTGGTGTGATGATAATTCCCCTCAAAACCTAAGATTACAGAATACCTTGCAGAAATACGTAGACATACAGGGTGCATACACAACCGGTGCGAAAAATTTACCAATTCAGAATTACACATCATTGTAATGTCTGAAATGCCTTCTACCTGAGCTATGGTTAAAAGAAGCAAAGAAAACGGATAGAAACAGCAACATGTTACAGAAGATATTCAAAATTATGTCTAGAAGCAGTCACACAGGCTTCATAGAAGTTCAACATGGAATTCCTAATGTTCTGGATAAACCCTGGTGTGTCTCTTATCTCCCTGACAGCTACACAGATGCAAGCAACGAGGTCTTCCAACTGAATCAATGGGGGTCCACACACCAATGCCTTTATCTGACCCCAGAAGAAGTCCCGGCATGGTAGGTTGGCTATCTAGCAGGTTAATGAACCAGAGCATCATGACCTATTCAATGCTGTCCAAAAGTAATGTTTAGGTGTTGGCAGATGTCACTATAGTAGCATGGAGGAACCCCATCATGCTGAATATACAATGAGTGATGCAGTTAGTAAGGAACATGTATTTCTTCAATAAGTTTAGGCAGAACTTTACATAGGAAGATCAAATATGCTGTACTGTTCAGACGAGGGAGCAGGAGGTACGGTCAAAGGAGAGGGTCCTCAAAAATGCCTGCCCAAACAGTGACAGAGATACTGCTTTGAGCTGCACATGTTTGTGTCCCATGTGAGTTATCCAAAGCCCAGAAATGGGCATTATGTTGATTGAAACCCCCCCTCTTGTGAAAAATGACTCATCTGTGAGCAATACAGATGCAGCAAATGTGCCGTCTGCCGCAATCTGCTGAAAATACAAAGAACTAAAATTTCTCCATTAGTGGATAATCTGCAGGCTTCAATGCTTGGATGCATTGCAGATGGTATGAACGCATTTGGTTTCTTGGCAGTATCCTCCATACAATGGATTGGGACAAACCCAATTGTTGGGATATTACTCAAGTACTCATACTAGGATTGCCTTCTGCCAAACATAGGACGTTCTCCTCATTGTCTGGTGTCCTTGCCATTCACTCTCGATTCATAGTAGGTCTTATATAACAGCCAGTCTCATGTAACCTTCTGTGCAAAGATCATATGATGAGGAGCACACCCATGCGGGAAACATTCCTGGTACAAGCACAAAGAGGGATGCCAATTGCCTCTGCAGCTCCATATGTGAGATGCATGTCAGCCAGTTCAACATTTGATTACTCATCCATCTTACTGCCTCGCAAACAGTTCACAAATGCTGACTTCCAATAAGATCGCTGTTAATGTGACCTCTTGTTCAATGTTCTCTACTGCATGACGAATGTATTTCCAACCCTGCAATGTGATGTGATTCCGAATCGTCTTTGTGCTCCCAAACATTTCCAATAAGTTTGTGGCACCAGTAGCGAATCACCCTTTAAAGCCCATCATTATAGGCAAAAATTCCACAATAAATCAGTTATAGCAACAAGATGGTACAAAACGTAATCATAAACTTTATGGTGCATATCTTGTAATTGTAGAACTATGTGTTTCTAAGCATTGATTCAATGAACGTACTTCCATAGCATATTAAAGAAATGATGCCTTCCTAGCAATTCAGGTCTCAGAATAGAGCTAAATCACAGGGGAGGCAAGTCCAATGTTACCTCAAGAAAATGGCTACGAAAAATTAGGTGAATCATTTTAAATTTTCATCCTTAATGCTTTATAAAGTGGACTAAATTCTTACATTATAGGAGTTGTTAATAATTAATCGCATAAGGACACGTTCCAGGAAATTTTAAAAAATCCAATTTTCCCTATAAGTACACAAAACATATAAAATTAAGCAATGTCTAAATTAATAATTTTTAATAATATTAAGATTTCCTAATCATTCCACACCTCAACTTTCAAGGAAACTTTTTTAATAAACATGATGAAGACAAATGATAAAAAATCACATTTTTTTAATAGAAAAACATAAAATTTGATGAGGACAAACTCTATAGTAAAAATCAATAAGCAAACACACAAGAATGAATTTATAAAAAATCAAACTTTCTAATAAAACATATAAAAATTATGAGTATGAACTACCATATTTGACGGCATATAAGACGCACCCTTATTTAGAAGGCCACACACATGTAGATGTAGAAAAAGTTATGTGTGTCTAGATCTTTATCCGGGCTAAAAATAGCATTGAGTATTGAAAGTTAACCTGTGTCCTTTACATATAAGACGCAGGTAACTTTTTTTAAGACCAATTTTAGGAAAAAAAGTCCATCTTATACGCCGTCAAATATGATATATATTAAAAAATCAAACTTTCTTATAAAAAACAAAAAATGACTAGCACAAATACTTCCACTAAAATATATAAAAAAGGATGAATGGTAAAAGTATATTAAAGGTTAAATTGAGGACCCCAGAAACAGGACACCATTAGCATTAAATGAAGAATTAAATGTCTGAACAAATTTTAGCTAAATACTTAAAAACCATTTTCTTGAAAACAACATTTACAACTTCTTCAGCCAAGTCAATAAATATAATGTCACAATATTTTATTTCATGAAAGATTTAAAGAAGGATATGCTCTCATTATAAATATTCAATTTTTAAATATGGTTGTATAGTTATTTCTTAATCTGTTTTCAGTCTCATACCCAAATGATCACCAGCTTTAGCTCTTTTTTTTTTTTTTTTTTTAAATTCCATATACATGCAAAATCAAGTATTACTCAATTCTATCATTAAAGGGATAATGCACCATCATTTACTAAAGAATAAAAATTTTACATTTTCCCAAAGAAGTACCAGAATTTTTTTTAGAAACAATATTAATTTTATAGCTTCTTCCCTGTCCTAAAATACAGTCTAAAAAAGAGCCATCTGGAGAGTTTCTTGGTTCATAGTAAAAAGTAATGTCTATACTATTTAAATTTCAATCGTCTTCATGATATGACAGACTGAAACAAAACAGAGGATACAGAATTCCAAATACTTTATAACTTGTCAGACATCATGTTTCCCTGTTGATGTTATTCAATTCTGACTCTAAATGAGCAGAATACAATTCACTATACTTTTTAATATTAAAATCCATTTTATATGGCTCATTTGGAACACTGATACTGTTGTTTACTGTTAATCAACAAGAAATCATATATAAATTATAACAGCATGATATTTGATATGTTATTTTCTATGTTATTAATCTATGTTATTTTCTCTTTTAACATAATGAGGAATAACATACACACTTTAAAACTTCATCTGAGAAGGATTTGACTTCGCACATAACATCTCCGTTTTTCAATAGGTTTTCAACTGCAAATTCATTCCAATATATTTCAAAATACTTATTGGAATTAATTGATTCTAAGTTTTATATATATGTAGGCTATAACAAAATATGATAGCTGTTTTTAAAAAAAATAACTGCTGACCTCAAAACTAACATTCTAGATTTGGTGCTCTCCCCCTAAATTCATCTGTTCTCCCAAAGTCATCCATGTTATGTAACACTTGATGCAGATACCTCCTGCCCAATCAAATAATTGTAAACCAAAACTTTTTCTAACTCGATGTGAAACTATCGACTTCCTCCCTTCTTCCTCCGAGTTGCAGTGTTCTCTTTTTGTTTTTCGAATTAAAATTACCTTAATTTATTTCTTAGAATCTCCATAATTATATTTTAGGGAAGGCATTTTAAAATATAAAAATTTTGTATACATCATTCATAAACACAAGAAATTTCCAACTTCTCACTGTTATTAAGACATTTAAAATTCTGCTTATTCTTTACAAAACCTGATGATTCCGCAACTTTCTCTAAATACTAACATTTCCATCAATTTGCATTTACTGAAGAAAAGGCCTCCGTTTCTTGCATAGAGGAAACTGGCCTTTTTTTAACTGCCCTATCATTCCATTATAAAAAATTAAAACACACTCTATTATATGAAAAAATAAAAATACTCAGATAAAAAATATATTTTTTGAAAAGGTGAGAACCTTCAAATTAAACCATTAAAGAAATTCATACAATTTAAAATTTTCAAACAATAATTACATTCTTAAAATACATCAAAAATTCAAAAATATAAATTCACAAGATATTTAATCAATAGTATAAAAATATTAATTGTATTCGGAACCTTCCCTAAGTAAAGCCTCCAAATTCTTTACCTACTTTTTATCAAATTCAGTATTTTTTTTTTTTAAATATACAAAACTACGTTTTAAAGAAATCATAACATTTTAAAATTAACTTTCATCTTAAAATTATTTAAGCAACATATTACCATCAATAAATCATAAAACAATGCAATTACTTATAAATGCAAAATTACTTTAAAACATAATTAACTCAGTTTAAAAACTTTGGCTTTGTATAGCACTTCAACATCACTTTTGATCATATTCCATTCTGTGAATGAAAGGAGAATTGAAATTTCTAAAGAATTTTCACACTAAAGCATTGAACACGCAAAAGAACACGAAACACTGTTCATTCGAATTTTCACATTTTACTGATAACAGTTGTTGAACTTCAGAGCACACCGGATGTTTAATTTTCTTTTATGCGATGATCAGAAATGCATAAACATTGTGAATATTCGAAGTGAGCAAGAATCATTAAGTATATTTCACTACATTGGGACATTGACCTTGATCCAAAACACTTTTTCTTCTCTTTTAGATTTTGAACTTACAGATACTTGATGAATTTCAAAGCACTTTTGAGAATGCCCGAAAGGCATTGGTTGATTCACTGCAAGTTTGAGGCAGCAGAGTTTGAAGAACATTGGGGAAACTTCCACCAGGTTTATCTTGTCTTGACTTTTTAAATTGTCATTATTTTAAAATGTGTAGAAGGAAAAATCCAGTACTTTTTAGCATGTTTCGATATTCATCATGGCTGAGAAGACCGTAGTGGCTGAAGGTACGGCTGGAAAAGCATGATGATGCATTTAGCACAACTGAGCTTGAAGAATCACTATCTTTATTTTTCACGCATATCAAATCATTCTTTTGCAGAGAAGATATTTCTTAATTATAGTTGAATTCAATAAGTTCCATTTTAAAATATGATGTCATCTTAAACAAATAAGCAGCAGCGTGGAAAAATAGCGTGTTACAAAAGAGAAAAGCCCAAGTAAAAGAGAACACTGCAACTCAGAGGAAGAAGGGAGGGAGTGGATAATTTCAGTTCGAGTTAGAAAAAGTTTTGTTTTACAATTTTTTGATTAGGCAGGAGGTATCTGCACCAAGCGTTACGTAACATGGTAGGATCTCAAATTTGGGAGAAGAGATGAATTTTGGAGGAGAGCACCAAATCTAGAATGTTAATTTTGAGGTCATCAATTATTTTTTTAAAACAACTATTGCATATTGTTATATCTTACATGCTTAAGGAGGATACAAGAAGCGATAGCTCACACCTGCTGTTCCGCTAGGAACACTCCTAAAAGCACCCTAAAATTTTTTCTTATTTTTATTTGTTAGGAGATTCAATTATGGTCATGAGACTGACTTGGGTTTTTCTATATTCTTTACCAGTCATGACCCTCTGACCATAGTTTGGCACAGAAGTGCTACAACACACACACATTAATTTTAAAACAAAATTTTTCTTCTTATTATTGCAGGGTAATATTTCATTATATTTTTTCAAAAATTTAAAGACTTTAACTTGATTATACAAGTTATTTGGCTCAAATTTCAGTTTTAATGTTATATTATTATTATCAAAGATTTTAGAAACAAGAAACTCTGACAATTGTACAATGCCAAAAACCAGTTATCTTGTCTACGGAATGGAGTTTTTTTTATCTATTGTACCTAAGATGATATGCTGATTTTGTAGGCCAGGACACGTCAAAGTAATCTAAAGTTTGGGCACAATTTATGATAGCAAAAAGAACTAAACTTTACAAAATAGCTTAAAAACAAAAAATTGAATTGAATTATTAACTACTTGATAATTACAGGAAAAAACTGCATATAAATAAGCAAATAGGTATCAACTCTAAAGGTACCTTTAGTAAAGCCTTTTAAATGATCTTTCGCCAGTAATGGCGACACTGGTTTACCAGATTTCAAAGCACCATTTATCTGACTATCAGGAACATCTGCATCAACTTGCTGCTCTTTAAGAGGTTCATATTTACCATTGCCTTTATACTCTTCAGATACATCAGGAGATTTTCTTTCTGGTGGTATTTGAGCTGCTGAGCACCTTAGGCAAAATAAAGCACAGAGAAATAAAAAAAACACTATACACCAGTTTACATAGCATAGATTTTCTTATAACTAAACTACAGAAATTCATCATACATGACAAATAATTATTATTAGAGTTGTGTAAAATTGCATACACAAAATTCAAACATGATATACCTATTGAAAAACAACTAATAAAGAAACAGAGTCTAAATAGTATAAGAATGTGTGATATTGTAATTTGAAGCATACCTTTCATTTATAGTCTTTGGTTCAGGCATAGTGTCATAAAGGTCCAATAAATAAAACATTGTTCTCCAACATCGAGGATGAAGTTCCTTCACTTCTCCTAATAAAGTATGCTCAGAGGCAGGGGCTGAGCATGTGTCAGGTATATCAATAGCTACTGACTCGCTCAAAGTAAAACTCAGTGGACTACATGAACGTTCTTCTTTTGAAGTCATCTCTTGTAAATTTGTGTATCCTTTAGTACTTGCTCTCAATCTCTGAGAAAGAGTGTGAGGTCTGCGAATACCTGCCGTTAAGCTGGAAACACCAACTGATGATGATTTTGTAGGTGTTGGAGTAGGTGTATTAAATTTTGGCGGTGCTGGTCGGGGGGAATTGATTCGATAACTTCCTGTTTGACTTTCTGAAGGCGAAAAACCCTTCTTTTCATTCTTGATACTTTCTTTAAATGAACTTGGCCTATTTGCTTTTAACTCAAGACGTGTTTCTTTAATATTTTCATACATTGTTGAGAATTGGTGCAAAAGGCGAAGTAAAGGCATGTTAACTTGCTGAGCAACAAAATTTATATCAATTGTAAAATTTATGACTGTAGAATGCTTGGAACCATTTGACATCAACATGAAAGGCTGTGAAGATATTAAAGTATCATTACTAACACTTTCTGGCTTTTGATGAAACGTCTCACGCAGTTCCATTTCTAAAGAAAATTTATCACAAATAAATGTAGGCGTGTCCATGCTAGTGTCAATAAAAAATTTTCCATGAATATTTGTTTGTTTTCGATTTGTTTTTTTCTTTTGACGTACATTGCTCTGATATTCGGACTCTACTATATCTATTTTTAACAGTTCAACAGCACCAGAAACTGATATTTTTGGACCAAATATGGCACTAAATGATGTACTATGTGCTTGATTTGGTACACCAATACTGTTGAGAAGTGGCTGAAATATCACATGTGCATCAGCTAATTGAATGCTCAAAGGCGCAAAATTAACTGCAGCAGCAACAGATTTTGGAACTTCAACTTCAAAACTATTTTCTGTTGCAAATGTACTCTTTTTGGAATCTAAGTGAGCATGTTCCAACCTTTTTTGATTGTTTGTATTTCGAATATAATCTTGCTGCCTTGCCATCCAATTATATAAATCTTCATCAACTTGATCCATATCTCCATTAGCAAAACCTTTTTGTGGTGTGCCAAAAACAGAGGACTGTAAATTTGGCTCAATACTAGACAAACTCCAAGTCGTAGATTTTAGACTATGTCTGCTGTCATTTCGTTTCAGTTTCGAAATAGCATTTAAACCATACTGATGTAAAACGAAACCGTTGGTTTTCCCATTCATACCATCAGCATAACGCCCAGGAGAATCAAGGGGGCCACCTAAGAGAGGAAATGCAACACTGGCTCTAGAAGTGCGAGGAGGATAACTCGGAAGTTTCCTTCTTGTTTTATTGGGTCCAGATCCACTACTCACAGCTTCTTCAGTTAGTTCCTGCTGACTGCTGCTAGAATGTGATCCAGTTTCAGGACTGGAATATGACTTTATAGGAGGAGTACCTTGGGTTGACATGACCTTTGGTCCCTGACCAACTGTTAAAGATCCACCTTCAGCAATTAATAAGTTAGTTGTTTCATCGGTAACTTCACATTCATCAAGAGACACTTTATCAACATCTTCATGGCTGGAAAGCATGGCATCAATTTTAGGAGCTGAAAATGATATGTTTAAAGGTCTCATATTTTTACGAAACCTAATATTTTGTTCAACAAGAAAAGGCATATAAAGAACATTTTTCCATTGCCGACTTAAAGCTATAAGGCCACGGTATAAAGTTTTTGTAGGAGGTATACATTCAGCCACTAAATTTTCTTCTACAGTTTCAATATCAACTTGCTTCAAATATCTTCTCAATACCATTAACAGTTGACAGGAAGGATCTTCTTGAAGGGTCTTAGCTAAAGGAGATAGCTTGTATGCCAGGTACTTACTCTGTAATTCAAGAGAAAGAAAAAAAATCAGATCACAATCATTAGAATAATTAAAAATGCAAATATTTCAAACTCATTAATGCTCAAACACAATCTTCTGCCTACACAGCTCATCTCTTCATCCTTTACAAGTTAATTAAAACCATATATCATATAATGAAAATATCTGAATAGTTTTATGCTTTCAGGGCATGAAATTTATCTTAAACTTGGAAACAATATTTTATGTTTATTAAGTTATGTTTTACCTACAACATACTGTAAAAGTTAGTATTTTTCGACATTATAATCTTCTACAAATTATTTAAAATTAATTCCAAAATTTGAAACGTTTTTGGAAGAGTTAGATGGAAACCAATTGCTCCCAAAATTTAACTAATATTATACATAAAACATGTCAGTGTTTCCATAAATGAGCTGAATATTAATAAAACTGGTTTTTCAGTATTAAAATAATCAGAAAAGTGAATTTTAAGACATTCACTTCTATGTATAGACATTCATCAAATTACATATGAAATACGACACATCCTGTAAAACTGATATCAGCGCATCAAATATTCAAAGCAGTACAAAAACAGATCTTAATTCGGGCGGGGCAATGGAGGTTTAGTGCCAAATTCCTATTAAGAATGAGGATCTTTCACATACTCTATTATGAAAAAAATATTTACCCTACATGCATTAAGCATATACTAAAGAGAGATGCCACTTTTGAAATTTAATTCTTTTTCCCTTTTTGGAAAAAAAAATAATGTGATTCAGATATTAGATCATTTTGGATACTGGAAGACCAGATTACAGATTTGTACAGTGTAAGAATCTGAGATATAGAAAACGTTACAATGATTCTTTTTTTTTTTTTTTTTTTTTTTTTTTTTTTTTTTTTTTTAAGGGAGCACCTAAAAATCTAATGTACTTATAATTGATAAACACTAAAGGAATATAAAATAATAGACAGATGTTTTAAATATAAATATTTTTATATCAAATGTCAAAAACTGTATTACGGGTAAAAAGGGAATTTTATTGAATTCACCCAGTAACATCTTCTATTAATCTACACCACCATTAAAACCAGCTACTGTGTTGGCCCAAATACAAGATAATGTTTCCCCATAGATGCTATATTCACTTAGCTCTACTATGAGGCTTGATATCTGGTTCATTTAATTATCTTTAGAAGCAATCATTTAATTAAATCACACCATCTACCTTAATTATGCAGCTCAACATTTAAAAACACATTTTAAGATTATCAGGTTCAATGTTTCTTCTAACCTTCTTCGGAAACATACAAGGACCTGACTAGGAACAGAGAGCTTACTAAAGCTATGTTCACTAATTGTAGTAAGTAGACAGGATACAGACGAAGGGTATACAAAACCCTTTATTTTTCTTTATATACAATGACTTCCGTACTTCGGAATACAATGACCCTCCACTCGGGGTCTAACGTAAAAGATATCAAAATAAAACTAAACTCTAATTTAACTTTAGAATAAGATTGGCCTTATAATAACAGGAAGCGTATGTAGCACAGAGACTGTGAACACTACAATACGTTTAATTTATCAAGAGGATTAATACCTCTGGCCTGGAAGGCAAATAGCAACTGCGTAACTTCTAAGGTAAGCGGCCTGCTTCGAACTCACTGCTTCCTCTCTCTCTCTCGCTTGGCAAAAAGGCCACACTTAAATACTTGGCGTTCGCCAGACAAACTTTGCATAAAATCCTTCACGCTTATAATTCTGGCCGGAAGTAGAAAATAAGAAGTGATAGTAAAGATTTAAAATAAAATAAACGTTAGTAAAACTTAAGATCCTTACATACTTCCCGCCAGAGTTAATTAGTTTGAAACTGAGGTCTAAAACGACCTTGTTGAAAACTTTTAGCTCTAGAAACTAACGCGAGGCCAACCTTTTACAAAAATGCTTCGCTAGAAAACTAGAAAATTTAAAAGAAAGAAATTTGTTACAATAGCAGCTCCCAGGATCTACAACAATCTTTTTTTTTTTTCATCTGTACTGCATCTAAACCAGGAGCTTTATTCAATTCTGGTTCCTTCCAGAGATCTGGAAGGAAAACTAGTTTAATGAAATGTTACAGAATGACATTGCAAGTAACATATAGAATTATACTTCTCTTAACATTCTTATTTCATTCATGACTATTTTTAATTATCTCTCCCCGTGCTCTCTGACATGTGTTGTAAAAGAACACCAAACACGAATGTGTTTCTGTCTACGTGTGCCACACTTCCTCCTACAATCAAAACACTAACGTGTTAAAATTCAACATAACGAGACCTCTTAACACACCCCTACTTTTCAACTCTAAACCCTGAGGTACTATTCTAAAAGTGGCTAACTCTAAAGTGTAGCGTCAGAGAGCCTAACTACATCATTCAACCTTTACCACATATTCGTCATGATTTTAATCTTTACAGTCACACGAATAACAAATTTTTAACATTACTTTCACTTTTACCATATCACGGTATTTCTTAACATTTAAAATAACAGTTCACATTGTATATAAGAACATATCAACATGCCGTTAATTTTACACATTTGAAAACATACATTAGTAGTACATTGTTAACTTCTATTCTTTTCAAAGCAAGTGCCAATTCTTTCTACATTGAAATAATACTACATTTCAAAAAGTCTTTTCAGACTAAAACTTCTTTCTTGCTAGAATGTTTTAAATAAAATTTATACAATAACTTTTTACAATATTTAAGTCTTTACACAACGCTATTATACATCAACTTTAGTTTTACGCACGAGTAATTGAAAAACATAATAAGAAAATCGGTCACAACTCATTTCTCGCCCTTTTGGCGATAATTGATGAGGTAAAACTCGCATGAGGTAAAACTTCTTGAAATCTGCCACTTGCAGTAAGAATGAAAGATTAACTTAAGTTTGCAAAGTAACATAAAATTTTACTTATCTTTGTAATATTCGGACATCCTTTTCTGGGCCCAGTCTTTAAAGGTATAGCAGATAGTAGCTTTGGTTGATCCTCCTTCTTGTACGGGCTCGCCCTTCAGTGCTTTCCTCTGGAAGCTTCCATTTTTTCACCAGTACGGCCACCCTTGAATACCTTCCTTTTGTCCTCTGCTTGTGGTCTTGGCCGTTTGAAGGCAGCTGGTCTTGGTGGAACCGGGAAACTTCTGTCGTGATCCTGCTTGGACCTCGTTGTTGGCCGTTCAAATTTTTCTTGTACTTTTTCCTCCGCCTCCGCTGATGGCCCTTCCGCAGTTCGGCGACTTTTGCTGGTGAGAGTTCTGTCGGATGAGTCGATCCTCCGTTTTAAAGCCGGGTTATAGTTTCCGTCATTTCTCCTGGTCCTCTTCACATATGTCGTCCTTCTCCCTTCTTCATTCTGGGGGTGTTCGTGAACTCTGTTTTCTGGACGGTGGAACGGCTTCTTTTTCTTTTTACCTTCAATTTTTCCGCGGGGCAATTTTCTTTTCACTTGCTTCTGTCTCTCATTGGCTTGCCCTTGTACTTGTCGTTTTCCCACCTCTGGAACTTGTACCTGCGGTGTCTGCCGTGCCGGATCCTGCAAAAGATCTGAAAAGATTTGCATTTTATTACGATCGAAGTAGGGCTTAATTTGATCAATGTTTGCGGAACAGGTTTCACCATTTCTGGCCTTTAAACACTACAACAGCGTGAGTTATTTTTTCTATAACATATGGTCCTTCAAATCGTGGAAAAAATTTGGCAGTTTTATCTTCTGGTGCTGAAGAAAGTGAATGCTTAATTTTTAGTAACTTCATCCCCTACTTTATAAGTTACTCCCCCGTCGTTTCAGTCATAATACAATTTTTGTTTTCTCTGTGCTACTTCAGTATTCTTCTTTGCTTCCTTAATTAGTTTTTCTATATCACCCATTTTAAATTCTGGGGCTCTTTGTTGCACATAAAATAATTTATCTAACGGTGTTATAATCTTTCTGCCTAGAAATAACTCAGCAGGAGTTTTTGCCCGTTGTATCATGTTTTGCGGTCCTAAGGGCGAAAGCAAATTCATTGACATAGTTATCCCAGCTTTTATGAAAATTTTTAACATAACTACGGATAATTTTCACTATATTTCTGTTGACCCGTTCCGCTATATTTGATTGCGGCCGATACGGGACCATTTTTAAATGACGTATGCCCAGTTTTTGGCACATGTCTTCAAATATATTACTTACAAATTGAGGACCATTATCCGATATAACTTTTAGGGGCGCCCCGTATTTTAAAATATATTTATTTAAAATAGAATCAGTAACTAATTTCGCGGAGGCTCGTTTTAAGGGAACAATTTCGGTCCATTTACTAAAATGATCAACCATAACAAGGAGATAGCGACTTTTATTTAACTGACTTTTTGGGAAAGGGCCCAATAAATCGATGCCTATTATTTCATTTGGAAATTCGGATTTAATACTATTTAGAAACCCGGCCGGGCGGAAATTAATATAATTAACTGGCTTGACATGTTGGGCATACTACTTGGCATGTTGGGTAAGACTGGACATACGCCCTTGTTAACTTTTGCAGTTTCAGGAAAATAGACTGCCTCGCGTACGCGTTGGATAGTTTTTCGAATACCAGCATGAGAAGCTAAAGGGCTGTCATGGAGCTCCTGCAGGATATTTAATCTAAGACTAGCTGGGATAACAGGTCGAAATTCGTTGTTGGAATTCGTAGTTTTTGTATAGAATAATAGACCATCTATTAGTTCGTAATGGGCCGCCCTATTTCTTATCGCCACAATATCTTGGTGGCTAAAATTTTCAGGATCCTTCAAATACTCATAAATACTTCTTCCAAACTCAGGATCCTTACCCAGTTCGGTTATTACAGTTTCTCGGGAATTTATTGTACACGCTGTAAGCATTGCAACTTTTACGGTATTACCCTGTTCGTCTAATTTTAATTCGTGATAGGGCATCTGCTACGATATTTTCCTTTCCGGGGGTATGCTTGATTACCAGATTATATTCTTGCAGCTTGAGTGCCCATCTTATTAACCTTGGGGATAAATTTTTCCCTGAGTACAATCTAGTTACCGCCGCATGATCAGAATATACTGTTATCGGCGCCTTTCCAAAATAGACTCGGAACTTTTGCACTGCTAACAGAACTGCAAGTGCCTCTCTCTCGGTCGCGGAATAGTTTCTTTCTTTGTGTTTGATTTAAAGTTCGGCTAAAAAATGCCACGGGCTGCTGATTTTTGCGAAAGTAGTACCGCTCCTACCGCATAATCCGAAGCATCCGCTGAAATTTCTAAATTTTCATCCTTTTCAGGAAATTTCAACACACAGGGGCTTGCGTTAATGCTTGTTTTAATTTTTCGAAAGCACTATTGGCTTCGGCCGTCCACGAGAATCTTGCCTTTTTCCTTTTTAATTTTAACAATGGCTCAGCGATAGCCGCAAAATCTTTTATAAAGGACCTATAATATGAACAAAGTCCTAGAAAAGAAGAGAGCTTCTTTGCCGTGTTTGGAGTCGGATACTTTTGTACAGCGATTATTTTTTGATTCATCTGTCTCGATCCCTTTTTGCGATATTTTGTAACCTAAATATTTTAATTCAGGGGCTGCAAATTTGCACTTTTCGACATTAACTTTTAGACCGGCCTCATTTAATAAAGAAAACACCTGTCTTAAATCCTGTATATGTTGGTCGAGATTATCACTAGTAATAATGATATCGTCTAAATAGATAAATGTGGACTTTCCAAGAACAGGTCTTAACACAATGTCCATGCATCGCTGAAATGTTGCCGGGGCCCCTGAAAGGCCAAACGGCATACGCAAAAATGCATAAGTGCCAGACTTGGTTATAAAAGCAGTCTTAGGCACGTCCTCAGGCCTAACCCCTATTTGAAAATAACCATTCGTTAAGTCTAAAGTCGTCATAAATTTGGTTGATTTTATGTTCCTTAAAATTTCTTCTATGATCGGTAACGGATATACCGGATATTTCGTTATGGAATTTAATTTACGGTAATCAATAGCGAATCTCCACCTTTTTGGATGCTCCAAAGGATAATCATTATTTTTCTTACATAAAACCACCGGGCTAGCATAACTACTTGAGATGGGCGTTATGATCTTTTTACGTAGCATATCGGTAATATGCCATTCTATAATTTTTTCCTTATTCTTATCATACCGGTATGGTTTTTGACGAAACTGGCAATTGCATCTCCGGTGTCAATACTATGGTTAGTAACCTGAGTAAATCCTGGAATATCACTAAATAAGGAAGCAAATTCACTTACCACTTGTCGGATTCTATCTTTTGCTCGTCATTAGGCAGGTGGTCAAGATTTAACCTTGGCGGTTCAACCTTTTCTACACGCAACTGGTTTCATTGTCAGCTTAAGGGACGATTCATTAAAATCCAGTGTAGCTTGTGCGTCTGAAAGAAAGTCTATTCCTAGATTAAATGTGCTTGCAAATTCTTTACTATAAAAAACATCACCTTTACTTGTTCGTCCTTGATACGGATATACAAAGGTACTTTACCTACGCACTTACATTCTTTTCCTTGCGCCGCTAATACTGTCGTATTATCCGCATTATATATGCGGTATTTTTGCGAAAATACTTTCTAAAAAAGACTTCTGCCACACAGGAACACTGCGCGCCGGTATCCAGGAGTGCGGTGGCCGGGATATTATTCACCAAGACTTCAATCTTCGGAAGAGTCAAATTTTTCACCATTACTGTATTTAACTTGTAGGAAGAGGGTTTTCGTGGCCTTCGGATTTCCGCACCCTCTCGTCAGCAGAAATCCGTTTTAGTTTAAATTATTTTTCATTTCCGTGCTTTCCTTCTTTCTCCACTGGCCTTGAGACTTTTTTCCTGGGTTGCTATTGAACTGTCGACGTTCGCCGGCTGTTTTTGAATGCTCGGGTTTCCTTGCCCACTGATTCGCTTTTTCTCCGTAGCCATGTGTGCTTGAGTTTGCTGTAGTCTTGGCGTACCAAATTGGTTTCGCTGTTGATATTGGCGTCTTCTTTCGACGTCCGCCGTTCTTCTACTTTCAAACTGGATTGCTAGCTCAAATAATTTTTTCCAGTGTAGTCGGATTTCTCAATTCAATAAAGTCTTGCACTTGGGGCAGTAACCTCGGCAAAATCACTTGAATTATTTCAGGATCCGGACGGTTTCCATACAAGAGCTTGAAAACGTGAATTTTTCTTAAAATAAAGCTCGAGAGGTTTTCCATTCTTTGTTGATATATACTGAAAAGTTCTGTTTCTAATTTCGCACGATCCCTTACAACAGGGAAGGCTTTTAGTAGGGCAGTCTTGAAATTTTCGTAAGTATAGGTGGGACTTCCTGCTTGACCCAAGAGACTTCTGCCGATACATTTGAACCAGTTAAGCGCTTGGCCCCCTCAAAGCGCTGGTAGCTAAGGTAACTTTTTGAAACTCGTGCACGGGTAGAGCATGAAGTGGTCATCCAATTTTTCCAAAAAACTGGTTACCGGTGAGTTTCCATTAAATGTTGCTTCTGGTTTCATCGAAGCGCGCATGGTCTGGACGATGTACCCAAATCCTTCCAGGGCGGCAGCTGGCATTTCTGGATTCTGAGCCTCTTCTGCAGGCAGCAGGTTCTTCTTGAAACTCGGCCATGGTTATTCTTCTTCGTCGGGCGCCACTATCAGGTTCAATGTTTCTTCTTCTAACCTTCTTCGGGAAACATACAAGGACCTGACTAGGAACAGAGAGCTTACTAAAGCTATGTTCACTAATTGTAGTAAGTAGACAGGATACAGACGAAGGGTATACAAAACCCTTTATTTTTCTTTATATAATGACTTCCGTACTTCGGAATACAATGACCCTCCACTCGGGGTCTAACGTAAAAGATATCAAAAATAAAACTAAACTCTAATTTAACTTTAGAATAAGATTGGCCTTATAATAACAGGAAGCGTATGTAGCACAGAGACTGTGAACACTACAATACGTTTAATTTATCAAGATGATTAATACCTCTGGCCTGGAAGGCAAATAGCAACTGCGTAACTTCTAAGGTAAGCGGCCTGCTTCGAACTCACTGCTTCCTCTCTCTTTCGCTTGGCAAAAAGGCCACACTTAAATACTTGGCGTTCGCCAGACAAACTTTGCATAAAATCCTTCACGCTTATAATTCTGGCCGGAAGTAGAAAATAAGAAGTGATAGTAAAGATTTAAGATAAAATAAACGTTAGTAAAACTTAAGATCCTTACAAGATAATTTTATCTATCTTAACCCGCATATTTACTTTGTTTAAACTCATGGTATAGTCCCAGTTGCATTCATTTGCAGGATGGGCATGTACAAAAATACAAAATCAAAGATTTTTAATTAGCTATAAATCAAAGGGTAAACAATACTAAACTAAGGTTAAAGATTTTAGAATTTCACAGACCTTTATTGGCATATGTATACTCTGAACTTCTAAAGCTTCTGCCATAAGACAAGCCATTGCAGCAGCTGACCTCTGACCAGCTTCTTTAGCCATTTTGCGAACAGACACAACAAGGCGGTCACTTGGCTTCAGCCATGCATTTATAGACGGTGTAGCAGTACTCAACAAATGCCAGTCCAATCTTATTTAAAAAAATGAAATACTTATGCATAGATCATCATAAAAATTCTAAATAATATAAATTTTATAGAAACAGATTTTTATATTTCAGCAATTCATTAATTATTTTCATGTTTGCATTTTTTGCCTAGCTTAAGAAATTGTTTGTAGCCTCAAAACAGAAAAATATTTTAAATACGAAGTTTAATAAAAATTTACTACTAATCCACTTGGCCACTTGTGGGCCTATCCATTTTCTCACCATGACAAACATTTACTGCAGCTCATGTAAGACAATCATTTTCATAAAATGAGACAAATGGATCAAACGATGAACTGCATAGATAAATGACATTGGAAGATTTTTAGTGTGGTCAAATCTCGAAGAATTTTTTTTTTTTTTTTTCCATAATCATGCTTTTTAATTGTTACACTGGTGTAAAATATTTTTATCCTTCCGCAAGATATTTTTTGGAGGGACACTTTCGATGCTTTCCTTAAACATGTCCATGCATTCATGTAATATTCAGCATTTAGTTACTTGTGAATGGCTAAACTTTAGATGTATATAAAAATAGAACTATGGTGTTATTGCAGTTCTCTGGAATATTTAATATTCTATGCTTATAAACAAAATAGTTTAGGCAGTTAAAAATGCATCCTCTTTTTAGTTTATATGGTGTCAGGAGTGCTTTGCTTTCTAAATAGAACATTTAAAGCAACCAGATTCGAAAAAAATTTGACAGAAATCTTGTTTCAAACTGGCAAAGATGGCTGCAACGTTTCATAATTTATATACTAGCCAGTAGATTATATAACAAAGAACAGAAGGGGAGGGTTAACACTTTTCTTCATGTAATAGAAATCTGCGGTCTTGAAATACATAACACATATCCTGCAGAAGAAGGTAAAGAAATTAAATGAAATTAAGACAAATTTATTGAATATTGTATACCTAAGAAAAATGTTACACATGAAAGACATTTATTCTTTACTAGAAACCGAATTTCAATTGAAACCATTAGATGAGTATGTAACTTACCTTCAAAATAAAGCTAGAACATGTGATTTTGCACAATTAACACATAGTCTAATGAAGGATAAAATTGTTTGTAGTATTAAAGATGATGTAGTGACAGCAAGATTATTGCATGAAACAGAATTAACATTAGAAGGAGCTCTTGGTATATATATAGATCTGTATACACATGTGTATAACAAATGAAAATAATAAAAGATGAAGATACTGTTGTAAACATAGTGCAAAAGAAACTAAATAAACATAATAAGAATACATATAAAGAGGTAAATATTGAGAAACAAACGACCAAATTGGCTCTAAATGAGGAACATCTCATGAATATCAAAACTGTCCTGAATATGGGAAAATCTGTCGTAAGTGTAAAAAGATAAATCACTTTGTGAAGCAGTGTGAATGCTACAAAATAAAAAAAATGAAGCTATCATGGCACATAAAAAAAGAGAAAAAATAAAATTACTAAATTATGACTCAAGAAGAGTTAGAATTTTATGTAGGTACATTAAAACCTTAGTTCCAGTAACACAGAAATGGACTGTTGATGTTAACGTAAATAAAAATAAACTTCATTCATCGTTAGATGCCGGAGTAATGTGCAATATTATTTCTAAAAGCCAAGAGAAAATGTGGGATGTTAAAATACTGAAGTCTGAAATTAAAGATTGGTTACATTCTCTGGGCATAAAATAGATACTATAGGAAAAATAGTACTTAACTGCCAATATGGAAAGATAATTATGTTGTAGAATTCCAAGTTATTGACAAAGAAGTGCCTTCTATATTATGATTAAAATCATATCTGTAACTCAAAAAGTTTGATTCAAAAATTAATGTCTGTTTCTACTGAAGACTTGCTAGAGAAATTCAAAGATGTGTTTGAAGGCTTAGGCTGTTTAAATGGAGAAAACAAATACCAGTTAGAACATGAGGTAATACCAGCAATTCATCCTCCAAGAAAATTACCCCTGGCTAAGTAAAGAAAGAACTACAAAGAATGGAAAATGCAAATGTCATTCAGAAAGTAACAGAACTATCAGGGATTATATAATATCTATTCAATTTTAATATTCTTTACTTTTATTTAAATATCTAAATAATATCTCCAAGCATTGACAATTCAGTCTTTCAACAGGAACAGTGGCAAACATTTTTAAGACAAAAATCATTTTTTTTCTTATTACAAACATCTACTAAAAGAGTAAATAAACCATCATTTGTAACATAACAATTTAAGCATTATCCATCGAGTTGTAAATACGTATATCAATTTCTGACATAATCCCAACTTTTTTTTATGAGAAAAACTAATCAAAATAACAACATACTCAATGCAAAAATTACAATTAAACATACTAGATATAGAAAATTCAACATAGTAATTAAATATATAGTATTTTTACAATACACACAGGTTGTAACAGTTTTTTTTTCCTATAGTTGAGGAGAAACCTCTGCCTCCATTTCAGATATTTGCATCTTTGAATCAGAATCCCTGTTGGGAGTGGATATTTCCAGTGGATATTATTCTCTGGACAGGACAAACCAGTTCTTCATACATTGTTTATTGACACACAACTTGGACACATTAGTCTCTTCCACGATGCACTTGTATAATCTTGGCCATTTGAATATGCCGTTCTCAGACACCACTCCACCTGGCAGCTGTGGGAGGATTACACTTCCACTGAATTCTTTTGATTGAAGTGTCAACTTAACAGTTTTCCTGTCTACTGACTTAAAGAGATTATCTACTCCCATGAAGTTATTTCCATTGTCACTGTAAATAACTTTTGGATGAGATCTTGTCATGAATCTCTGCAGTCCCAATAAGAATGCTAAAGATGTTATGAGATTAAAGTGGACAGCCCTGTACACCGCGCAGGTAAAAAGGATAATCCAACCTTCATGTTTGTAGCCGCCCAGATGGTATAGTGGTTAGGGGAGCTGACTGCGATACTGAAGGGCCCGTGTTCAAATCCCGGAGAAAACATGGATGTAAATTGTCTGTCCCCTCATAGAAGGCTGCTTATTAGGTGTCTCGACTTCTGGCCTAAGAAGCGGCCAATGCCGTTATAGGCAAGTGCCCACCATTGGGAAAAAAAAACTTTTACAATGTCCTTCAGTATAGAAGGCTGCCTATTAGGAGCCTCGAATTCTGGCCTTAGAAGCGGCCAATGCCGTTTTATATGCAAGTGCCCACCATTGGAAAAAAAAACCTTTTCCAATGTCCTTCAGTATAACAGGACCTGCCAAATTTACAAATGTAAGTTCTAAAACACAGGTATCTCTCATCCTGTCCTCTGACAGTTGAACAGGAATCCTTTCTATTTGTTTGGACTCGTGTTTTTACATCTGGCACAGGTTAAAATGACCTTCCGCATACTCATTTTGGGACCCAAACGTTTTCCCATAGCTTGAATAATAATATGTGTATACCAGCATGAGCCATGCTTAAATAGAAATGATGAATGATAGCCGGAACAAGCTGGTGATCACTTGGCAGGAGCATGGGATAGATGAAACTGACATCATTTTACTTTACAATTAACTTTTGTTTTAACTCATAAGATGCCTTCATTATCTTCAAATACACACAGAGACTAAAAATTTCTTTTGAAGTAAATTTATCATTTTTAGGCATTTTTGAATTTATAACAAATATTAATACTCATGCTACAATTCTCAAGGTCTTCATGTAATCAGGAAAGTAACTCAAGAACCAAAAATTTTCAGAGCTGTTATAAGGTAATGAAGTAACAATAATTTCCTTCCTTTCAGTGTTTCCTTCTTCGTTTACAACTGAACTGGATCTTGGCCATTCTTCTTCAGGCACTCTCAACCAAGAAGGGTCCTCCTCCCACCATCTGGATTCCTTAAGTTTGGATGCTAAACATCCTCTGGAGGGAAGATCTGCCACATTACAATAACCAGAAATATATTTCCACTTCTCATTCTTCATTAACCCTTTGCAGTGCGTTATATTATTTTTATAATTTTTTTAACTAAAAACTCTAGAAATTGAATATTATGATCCTAGAGACAAATAATATACGAATTTAAAAAAATCTACTCTTGCCCATTGTTTTGTGGGTGGTGGTCACACTGTGAAACCACCGTGCGTCTAGGACTTTGAAACTTACCTAGGTAGTAGGAAAGAAAAACTTACCTTTTTCCGTGGTTTCCAATAAATGACGAAATTTAGGAATTAAAAAAAAAAAAAAAATGCATGTAAGAATTGCATAATATATATATTTTTTACATTATTTTACAAACTAAATCATCAGAAAAAATTTAAACATAAACATTTATGTAATTCTTCTATAGCAGTGAAAGTACCTACATAATAAGGGCATTTGGCTACATGGAGTAAAAAACAGGATTTAAAAAAAAAAGACTCAGTGTTTTTTTTTATTATTATTTTTATTTATTTCAAAGAACAAATATTTTTTGTGACACTGTTCAGAGCATTTTTTGTCTTTTTGGTGCATGCTTTTTGGCTCATGCTGGTATACACATTGCACATTTTGCACACGTACCTTCTTCTATGATGTTTCTTCCTTATGCTACAAAATGTACACTGATTGGATCTAAATTTCACTGGTATATGTCCAGCGTTATTTAGTTTCTTCATCTGACACATGAAATTTGTGGGGGGTTTTATGTTAATGGTGGGGGGCTTGGTCTTTTTGGCTTTGGTACGGATCATTCATTTCCCATTCATACTTATTTTATTCATATTCCGTCTCAAGCTATTCAGAACATATTTTTAATTTAAATAAAACTTTATGCAATTTCTATTTTTAATTACAGCAAAGTATATTTGCATTAAATTTAAACCACAGGAAATAATTTATAAAATAACAATACTAGCTTAGGGAGCAAGTGTGTTGAGGTCAGAGAAAAGTCTCTGGAAAAGAAAGACCTTTTTACTGGGCAGATGCATGTACTGTTTAGTAATAAAATAACTTTGTGATTTCAAGACC